ATATAGAAATCACTTAAAGAAAGAAACACACGATAAGATACACAACACGCACACGCAAACACACACACACACACACACACACACACACAGAGAGAGAAAGAGAGAGGTGTAACTTCGACCGTGCAACATCCACGCGGTACACCTCGGTACAACTAATGCCGGCGATATTGTAACTTCTTAATTTTATTACTCATAAAGTACATAATGGAAAACTACTTTATTAGTGTTTTGGAAAGCTCTTGAGATAAGCTACAAGAATATATAATAAAAAGTAGGTAGTCCCATTTAAAAAATTGAAAGTGACCTTTGTTACTTTCAAGCAACTCGTCAAGGTCAATGGCACCATCTTATATCCCCTTTCAAACCAAAACAACTTTTGTCTGAAATATTTTTTCTGCGAACAAAAATAAAAAAGTTGTTTGGGGTGGGAAAAGATTTCTATTCGTAAGTGTTGTGTGAGGAACAGTTGAGTGAGGAACAACAAAACCCGATTACACACTTTAGGTTTGATAGAATATAATTAATTTACTAATTATTAATCTATAAGTTGTGTGAACAAAGAAGGTTATATATTCAAAATTAATATTATAATATATCGTGATGTAATTGTATTTGATGATGTGGCATTATTACGAAAAACAAGAAAATATAGAGCAGTAAGAAATAACGTCAAAGAAGCGATAATATGATAAATTAAAAATTATTTCGATGATATTATTACACCAAAAAACACATATATTATTGTAAATACTTTGAAAGTCTTTGTAGAAATATATCTTCAAAATTTTTTTTAAGTAAATACTTCTGCACAAGATTCTGTTTACGAAAAAATCAATTTGGAATGAAAACTTAATTGACTGTATTTTACTTGGTATAATCGGTAAATTTATTACTGTTCATATGTTTCGCCACTTCGAGAGGCGCGTTTTTTTATTGTATCAGCAGGTACCGTCTTTAAATCATAAGCCAAACCTAAATAAGCGCAAAAGTCGATGAAAGCTGTGGTAAAATTAAGTCTATAATTTCCAAGTTCCGCCGCTTTATAGTCCCACGGAAAGACATGATGATAATTATGCCACCCTTCGCCAAATGTTAAAAGAGATACTGTAGCATTGTTGGTAGAGCTGAAGGATCTATATAATAAAACAAATTGTTTAACAACACAATATTATCTATCCAGATATATAAACTAATGTAAACAATTAATTTTTATATACAAAAACACATGTATATATTTGATAATTTAGAATTGCACAAGTATATACTTTTCGTATGGTTTCATGCCCCACATGTGAGCCGCAGAATTTACCAGCCAAGTAATATTCAAGTTTATACAATATCTGCAGACTGCACAATGCCATGAATATGACAAGCTTTCGTTCCATGCCAACCATGGTACTAACGTTGGTATGATAAAACAACAGAGCCACATCAAATTCAAGTACCACCTAAGAAAGAAATGTGAATGCATAATAACATCAATATAGAATCAATTAAAGTCGTAATTCTAATCGCCTGGGTTTTGTTTTCGTGAAAATAAGTTGTGCCCGTCGTACTTCTTTTGAAATATCACGATTGGATCTTGCTTCAGATCACTGCAATCGACTATAGCACCCTTGTCTGCGACATCAGGATGTTTACGAACCAAAAGCCAACCGATATGCGAAAAGAAGAATCCTCTGCGTACATTATACGGGTCCGCATCGGTGTCGGTAAATTTATGATGCACCCGGTGATCCCTGACCCATTGATAAATGTCATCCTGAAAAATGTAATTCAGAAAATAGTGATACAATTTACACGCGAAATTTTATTAAAAAACCGAATGTAAAGGACTTGGATCTCTATCATACTCAGCAATATGTCATTTTGTGCGACACTTTGATGAGACGAGAAATGTTAACGCTGAACTTACTTGAAAAGCGATAGTCTGAAAAATCATGAGGATAAATCTCAAGGGCCATTTTGCCTTGTAAGATCGATGGGCCCATAATCTATGAGCGCCAGCGGTAATACCTAGACCCCCAGCGACACCAACAACAGTAACTGTAAATGATTATAAGTTGCGGTTTGATAAAGTGGAAGGTAATCTAGCATTACAGAAAGAAACATTTAAATACGACACATACACCATATAGCCGATTGATATTTAGCACGGAAGAAAAGCACGTATAGCCCGAAAAGGGCAGCAAGATGAATGTAGGCGAAAATAATAACATTTCTCCAAACAATTTTCCATTCATAACCGGTTTTGCATGATTCTTTCGTCGATGCCTTATCATTGATAGGCTTTTCGAATTTTAGTGTAGCAATTTCAGATAAGTCCAGTACCATGCTGTGTCAAATATATATTAAAAATATCTTCGTAATGTGTAGCCTTTATCGTAGACTACGTAATTATACTCTGCAGTATTCTCCACTTATATTAGAAATATAATAAGTATAATAACTTCTTTAAGTTAGTCTTTTTTTCGTACCACTGTATTGCCATCGTATATTTTGCAATAATTTATTTTATCTCTCTCTCTCTCTCTCTCTCTCTCTCTCTTTTTTATTATATTATCTTCTAAAAATACTATAATATCCGATTACTCATATAACAATGTATACGTTATGACAATTTTATGTTTTATGTCAGAATACGTCAGAATTTTTTAAGTCAAGAACATTTTAAAGCCAAAAAAATACTTGTACGTACATTTAATTCCTAAAGTATTGACTTTCGATATGTTATATAACTCACTTTGCGTGTAAATCTCAAACGTCAATTTCTCAATAGATTGCGATATTGTTTCTGGTAGGCTAAATTGAAGGACTTGAAACACTTTAATTAATATCTATTTTAATTGCTAGTAACAGTATTCGTTATTTATGCAATATAGAAAATTATATAATAAATAGCAATAGTAGTAATGCATTATTACATATGTATGTATATTGGATTTAACATGTAAACTACAAAAATATTAGTAGCAAAATAAGATATTTTAAACAAAAATAAAATTACCTTTGAATCAAAATTATACAGTTTAATACCTGTGTATAATCAAGGTCTTCTTTTGGTCGTTTTATTTGGGAAAATATCTGGAGATGTAAATTCTTCTAAAATTCTTCTGTAAACTATATATTTTATACTTTTAAATTAAAAGAGCTTTATTCGTGCATAGATTATAAATTCAAATTTACAAAAATGTGACATCTACTTTTATTTTCGAAAATTTAAAATTTTTTGTTTGTGTAAATATTTATATTGTGTGATTAATTTTAATATTACTTAAAGAGATAAAAATAATTTGATATTTTTTGCATTAAAGCTATTAAAAGATACAAAATAATATTAGCAGTGACATAAAACAATTGTTAAAATTATATTTTATTGTACAATCCGCTGTAAATCAATTATACTTAATATTTATTATTATTTTATTATTATTAAAAACAGATTTGTATGTATATATATTTTGATTACATAATCCTTGCATACTTTAAGTATTATTTTATAAAATTGTTCTAACAGTACATAAAAAAATATTACTTATATTATAGATAAATATTAAATTTAAAAAGACATTGAGTATAGTGCCAAATAATTTTAAACTAATTTTTTAAATATTGCACAATTAGCTTTAATTATTATTTATTATTTATTTTGTAGTAATAAATTATTTAAAAAATTTCTTGTTATTTTTGTATTAATTTTAAAAAATAGATTGTAGATCGTTACTTATCGAACGTCTTATGTATACATATATGATAATAACATATATGTATACGTATTTCTTATATATTTCTTTCGAATACAATATACATCTGAAGCATATGAATAATCTATTAAATTTTCAATTAGAAGAGGTCGCGGATAACAAGAAATTACTTACCGTGATAAAGATCAAAGTTTTTTTGTATGTATGCATACAATATGTATATAATATGTATGTATAATAACAAATTTTTTAACATTCAACATAAGATACATACAATGAATGGACCGCGTGATTAGAGTTTAACACTTCATATAACACTTTTTAATTTTATGGAAGATGAGGTTCGCTCCCACATACAAGTGTTGTGCGGGTGCGTATGTGTATGAGTGCGTGCGTGTGTGTGTTTGTGACAAGAAATTTATTTTAGAATATAAAAGAAAACAAAGTTATATCTATGCTCTTGCTCGCACGCACACTTCGGTCCGACTGAAATGCCCGGTAAGTATATTATAGTTATATTACTAATCATACGTATAATCATCCGGATGTACAACAGCAAGGGGCAATATTTCTCGTAAATAAATTTACATTCAACGGCACATCTTTATTCGTTGTCAAAGACGGCGTTAAGCTGGTTGGTACCCCCAAGCACTGTTTCAATCACACAGTACTCTACATTTAATATAAAAATAGTTAATATATTTTGAAATATTTAATAGTGTAGTCTGGTTTTATTGTAAATTGTTTACTCTTGTTATTCTATAAATAATATCTATTCGAGACGTCTGATTATAGAAGAGAATTTAATTTGGTAAAATTGCTCAATCATTTTAACAGTTCACGAAACTTCCCAGCCTATTTTATTATTACTTATGAAGAATAAATTAATTTAGAAGAGACTTTGAACGACTATCTCAATAGCCAAACTAAAAAATATTTTAATTACACTAAATAAAGAAATACTATATAAGGAAATACTAAATACGTTTTCATATTTTTTACAAAAATTGTTTTTTGCTGTGATTATATCTAACAATAAGTAAATTGTTTAATATTGGAAATATTATTCATTATATACATATCTTCACGTAAAGATTATTATTTGTTTAATTTCTTAAATTGAAAAATTAATCGAAAACTAAAGAAGTTACATTTGACCATCCAACGCCGCGATATATCTTTACGTAAGTTTCATGGGAAATCTGTCAATAAAAAAAGAATATACTAGAAGAGAAGAGAAGATCGCGTCATTGAATCCGAGAAGACGTACGTCAACGTACACTCGGTGTTACTGGATAATCGAGACACTTTCTTTCGAAGAAATTTGAAATGTATAAAAGAATTATGAATTAATTGCTCATTGCATCGATCTGCAGTACCGCATACTCCAATGATTCGTATTTGCATTTCTGAATTAATCGAAAAAATCACAATCTTATTACAATATAAGCAATGTTACACGCCTCTGAAAAATGGCATCCTCATACCACGCTTAATTCGTTTCGCGTGTTACGCCGCTCCTGCCTTTATTCTTAATTAAGCGTAAGAATAAAATATATAATATATTTATTTATTCTGTTAGGTCAAATTTTAGGTCAAACTGAAAGCATAAGCATCTTCTTTGTACCGATAAGACATGAACACGTATAAATAAACAAAGATAAAATTATAATCATGTATTATAATAATGTCTCAAATATCGTCATTATAGACATATAGACAATCATCGAATAGTTTGTTATATTAACACACCCGTAAACATTATCTTAAACTTATTACATTTGCCGTCCAAGGAAACTCCATCGTAAAGATGATACAATTCTCAGTCATTTCTATCATTCACTTTTACTGTCCGGATGCGGCACAGCGTTCCATAAGGGATGGGTCCCGTCACCTCTTTTCATCGTAATGGTCTTGACGTACTCCTCTGACGGTTGTTTGAGATCATACGCCCATCCGATTTTCGTGAAGAATTCGATGAATTTTGTGTTCATGTGATTGGCGTACGGTGCCTCAGCAGCCTTGTAGTCCCACGGAAAGACATGATGATAATTATGCCATCCTTCGCCGCCCGATAGAGCATTGACCCACATATTCTCTGTTGGTTTTATGTTCCTGCCGTTAAAATAAATGGGGCAAAATTAGTCGTAGATGACGCAGAAAAGTGAAAGCTCTGATATTTCTTTCGATCAAATTTATTATACATCTATACGAATAATTATGAATAATTTGGATTTTAATTATCTGCTTACGCATCGTATGGCTTTGAGCCCCAGGTATGAGCCACACTATTGACGCTCCATACGGAATGTAAAACGCAAACATAACGAATAACCTGCGACGCGACGGCTTTAGACCAAGTCTCATTCCATCCATACACAGGCACCATTACCGGAAGCAGGTAGGCGAAGATCAATCGGAGTATCACAAAATATCTGCAAAATATCATAAATTAATTACGGCATGCAATTTTTTATATTATATTCTTATGCAATTTGTCGTTTATTTTGCGAAAGGATCTGCGCAAAAGAAAAGACTTTCTAAACGAAAGCTGTAGCGAGACATTGAAATGATAGATGCATATTTTCAAGTTGAATCAAACAAGTGTAAATAAATTTCCTCTTATTTCCTTTTGCCTTTTCCAACTAATTAAAATTATTTCGCATATTTAATTACTCACTCTCTGCATGAAAACCTACTTGATACTGAATACGACGATAGGCTCGGCCAATATATCGCTCATATCGACTTGACGACCTCTTCGGATCACCTCCGGATGTTTCTTCATCATCAGCCAACCAACATGGGAGAAAAAGAATCCTCGGCTACTGTTATGCGGGTCTGCGTCCGTATCCGTATACTTGTGGTGCACCCGATGATCTCGCACCCAATCGTAAAGGTTGTTCTGAAAGAAGGTAACTGTAAAGAAAAGTTCTTCCGTCTTGCAATGCACGAAACTAATTATAAGCGTTCGTCTACCATGCCGCCTGCAGCGTAGAAAATGACTAGTATAAGTTGAAGCGGCCATTTTGCCTTGTAAGATCGGTGGGTCCATAAACGATGAGCACCGGCGGTGATGCCTAACGCTCCTGTCCAAGAGACAGCGAATGCTTGAAACAAAAAAGCGGATGCAATTAAACATTGTTCAAAATATTCATAAAATCATATATGTATAATAATTTAACTATTTCTCGCAAACGTCTTGTAAGTGACATCTATTATTTACATAATCGACCTATTATATATAATACTTTATTTTAAATTATATAATATTGGTTTGTATTAACTGAGAAACAAGAGACTTTCGGAAAAAAAGGTAGGGTATAAAAATCAAAATTTCTTTACTCAACTATTATCAAATTTGCTGTTAATTTTGACATTTCTCAAAGTGATTCACAGAGTGGTGATTGAATTATGATGGTTTTTTGTAACTATCATGACTTTTAACAATCCGCGATGACTTATGACGAAATCAATATTGTAGAAATAAGGAGTCTTAAATAGCAGTTTCTTGATGCTACGCTTCTATTGCGTGCTCTCTTCAATCGTGTAAGCCCAATCGATTGGATGTCAATCAACCATATTCGTTTCAGAAATGGTTAATACTAGAATTACCAAAGCGGTTAAAGTGTCATGTTTGATATTTTTAAATAAATATTACTCATTTCTTAAACATCTTAATTTCTGAATTGTTTTCTGACTTTTATTGAAATATACAAATGATTAAGTTTATAAACTTGTTTCCCCTCTTTTTTTTTGCTAAGATTTCTATGACCTTTCAGTAGGAATTGGTCAGAATTAATCTTTGATAGTTCTAGTGTTAAAAACGACTTTGACATTTTTTATAAGACTTTAATTGCATTGCTATATTTAAGACATTTATTCCTGTAAAATAATTATTAAAAAATGATTAACTCCTTAGCAGACTAAATTTTACTTTTTTGTTATACAGTTTTTTATCGAGATATCAAAGAAACAGATTATAAAACCAAAAAAAATTTTCAAGAATACTTACTCCAAGCGGTCGTCTTCCAATTTGCGAAAAAATTAAAAGTAAAACAGGCATATATGAAGTAGAGATGGAGAAGACATAAAAATGTGATATTAAGCCATTTCAACTCCATTTTGAACCAGCCTTCTCTCTTTGTATAAATTTTAGTCCTATTCTTATCGTCTGTCTTCATCTTCATAATAGCTCAAGTTTCTTCCTTTCGATTATCTTTCTCCGTAAATACTTTTGGATCTGCGCATAAAATATTTAATGCCGCCTTTGTGTTCGTATTGCTGAATCGAGGTCCCAAAATTCAGTTTTATGCTACCAACAAATAGCAGGCTATTATCTTCTCTTTTCAAATCAATTGAACATTAAACTTGTCGCTTACACTACATAAGAAATGACACATTGTAATACTTAATCGGACACTGCATAAAAAATAATTCATTTTTCAATATTCTTATTTCTTCTTACATGTACTTTACACAAACTGCGGGAATAAAGATTTATCCATATTTATAATATAGCTGGTATCTTTACATAATTGATTATCGTAACAATTATCCATAAAGCAATTACTGAAGCAATTATCGTTATCGGAATAAGTAACTATAAAATATCATTCGCAAGTAGAATTCTATTTTTAAAAGGACAAGACTCAAATATCGATGTAAATGCTTTTCACTGATGCGCTTACGATAACAATATTTCGCACCAAATATATAATTGTTATATATTTATATATAATTTACGCAGTTTAAATGAACACACACGAGTCTTTTAAGAAAGTTGTATCGATTCGTAAATTATTTTTAATTTGCTGTAGAAAGAAGACACTCGTACCGTTTTTACATTTCTTGGTAGCACTTAATCACGTATTCGAATCATGACAACTGAATCGGTTTGTCAGATTACGATGTAAGCACTTTTATAAATTGTACTGTGTCAGCACATTGTTTAATTAGAAACGTAAGCTCACATTCGTTGTGTAAGTCTGTGTTAATTGGCACAAGTGGCATTATGATTATTGTACAATGTTCCAAAATGATTATTTGTCCCTTATTAATACTGTTATATTAGTAATATAACAGAGACAATTAGATTTTTTAATCAAGCATTTTATGCCACGCAGTGCAGCAAAATTATTGTGGAAAATTTATAGCATAAGATAGATTATATATACGTATATAATAGTTGATTTACCTTCAAATCGATTTATTCGCCAATCAGAAATTTAAAAAACAAATGTAAATTTAATGTTATTATATAATGTTTTTAGACATAATTTTCCGCTAAAGATAAGATAAAAGAAAATGCGACGTTATTTATACATTAACTGATTTATATGTAGATTTTATATTATGTAGAAAGGAATTTTTATTTTTTCATATGCATTTTAAAGTTAACTTTACTACCGTACGAAGACACAATATTATATAATAATAGAGCTGACTTTCCAATTTCAGTATGTTTTAACTCGGGTTTTGAGTTGTCTTTTTATTTATATCACATATTTCACAAAAGATTTTATAAACAACATGAGTATAAGACATCTTGTCGAGTTGGTTCCTTGCGATTTTAATAAATTTTTTAAATAAGTACGCAAAAATATTTTACTGTAGTTTTTCCTTTTCGTTAGTGAGCTATACAACTTTTGTTGTACTTTCGTTTTGGCTATTATCTTTTTCCCCAATGAGACCACTGTCAATGCCAAATAGCCGTCTATAATTTGAACGACTAATTTGTTCTGGTACAAGAGGGTTCGCCCTGATTGTTATCTTAGGGGATTACACGAATCGATATGTCTTTCCAAAAGAAATTAACTTTCAGTACGTGATCAACCGTCTGAGCGTCAACGCACGAATTATGTATTAGATAAATGTAAAAAAAATTATTTATAAAAATGTAGTTGAAAAGTGTCAATTTTAATGTTATATAGCATAATTGATTCCCAATTACACACACTCGTGTACAATCAAGTCTAATTTCAAGAATACAGAAGTTACGCATCTTAATTGAAAACTAAAAAAAATTAGAAAGTAAGTGTGTGAACTGGATTAGTACGTGTTCCACAGTTATTTCTTGTCTAAAATATATTATGTATATGTATACACATACGCGCGCCCGCGTGCAATAATGCTGGATTATTGGACGTGTCGGATGATCTAAGGATCGGATTAGCAAGGTTATACTGTATTTGTAAATTTATTATAATTATAAGTTATAATAAGATTAATATATTTGCAGATTTATTAATATAGAAAGGAGAAAGAAAATACTTTGACTTATAATATTTATCAATAATATATTGACAAAAATTTTATTTCTTTAAATTTTTATAGACAATAGATAATTTTCTAGAGAATCATTATATGTATAATACAATACGTTTAACTATACATTTAGGCTATAGATTTAAAAATTATTTGGATCATAAGTTTGTTTCTCATTAGCTTTTAAAATTAGTAACTATTTTTTATAAACCTTGTACTTATAAATATTTGTTATATTCATTTGGATACTTTTTATATTAATATTTTTAATTGTTTTCCTTTGTAGAATGTATTTTTTGTTTTCTCAATCACCGATTGATTTTCTTCCATCGATTCGAAAAGCCATATGTATAATATCTCTCTAAGATTAATCCATATCTTTACATCACTTATACAGTGTAGGTTTATATATTTTTTGTGACATGCGGTGTTCACAACGACGTAGAAAAGGTTAATATAAATTGCGCATTTTGCCACCTAGATTAATTGTTACGGATGTGATCACGTTCGTACAATAAGAAATATATTTACATCACTGAATTGAGCTACATTACGTGAAAAAGAGTATTTAAAAATATGTGAAAAATTGCAAGAACACACATTGTACGTAAATACCCACTTCACGGGCATATTTGAAAAATAAAAGAAATGGCAAAGAAACCATGGCACACAAACACGAGCAGCAAGATAACCGCTTGAAATATAAACGGCAAAAACATGAAACTGACAATTTCTTTCTTTTTTTTTTACTTTTTCCCATCGCCATAGCTGTTAACGTCAAGCTTTCTTGCTCTTCGCCGTCAAACATTTACTGTGCTGTCGTCGTTCGTACCCTGACGTGACATTCGAACAATGAATTAAGGATTTGACGAGCTTCAACAAAGGCTGGCATTTCACGATAGCTATACGTAATACTTACACTCTTGGAATCACTTGTTATCAGTAGTAAATTAACCAGCAATACAACTCAGTTAAAATTGTCTGAATACATTGTAACATAGAGATTCGGACCAATAGTTAATCGTGATTAATCTTCTTTTTTTCACTTGTCAAACCTAACGCTTTGACAAAGTACTCCCGTTTATCTCTCGATTTCATAAAATAATATTCTTATCAACTTTTCAGATTTATGTAATGTCGCCAATTATGCGCAGAATCAAAGTTAATGCCGGAGAAGCAAAATTAATACTGGTTATGTTAATGGCGGTTCAAGTCGCCAAACCTTGCGTTTTCACGTCGCCCTTAACGTTACAATTGCTATTGGAATACGCGGAATGGAGATCTTGGGATCAAGTGGTGCTCTTCGATAATGTCAGCCCGTTGAGTGAGTCTTTTTCAGTTTGTTAGTCAAATCGAAAGGAAGAAAAGCGATCAGCTGCAAATTTGCCTTACCAAATTTATTCTTATTTATAGCGAGCGCGAAGCAAATGTAGTAAAATATCCTTTTTATTTCGCAAATTAATATACTTTCTAGTTTCGCTAATGTGCACGTAACAAAAAGGAAAGTTTCAACCTGAAAAGTTGATTTAGAAAAGCTACTTTTAAAGAAAACATTTATAAAAGAAATTCTTTTATGAAATTGATATGGTTATTTTTAAAAGAATTTGCAATTGAAAGAAAAATAGAGCTTGAATTACGTTGGCTAATTAAGATAATGCATTAGCTTTAAATTAAGTTGCAAATTAATGCAGATTGCGTCCTTAATTACGCTCGGCCATTGATCCAATGCTTCAGTGAAAAAGGCATCAGTGTGTCTTTACAATCGGCAACGAATCCAAATATACCGGATGCTCTTACAATTCGAACTCATCGTGTCGGCTCGATCGTGTTCTTGGACGGACTCAATCTGACTTCATCTGACAATATTATCCAAGTGGTATGAACTATGTCTGAAAAAGGAAAAAGTGTAAATTGAAATCTGTTTAAAGAGTATGTTCTGTAAAAATGCTCTGTAACGCTGTATCTCTATAAGCTATGTAGCACAATAGAGCAAGAGAGAAAAAGCGACGAGCGAAAAGAAGAAAGAGCTAAAGAGCTAAAGAGCTAAAGAGCTACAGAGCTACAGAGCTACAGAGTATATAATTACAAATATTTTAATGTACTTTTCATTTTAAATATATTTAATCTTCTAAATACCGTAAGAGGACATCGCGTGTTACGTTAGCAAAGAAATGTCTCGCGGGAATAATTCCCATTTGCCTGATATTCATGGTAGACTTCAGCAACGACGCATAGACTAAGAAAATAATTCAATAGAAATATTAGATCGCATCTTTGCTTTGTCATTCTACAAAATTAATTCCAACAAAAAAATTTTCTTCTTCATTACAGTAATTGCTTCGCGTATAGCAATTAATGATCGCGTGCGAATGCGATAATCACTTCGTTATCTTTTATTCAACTAGATACACAGTTGTGATACGCAATTTTTCTGCAAAAAGATCAACCGCAAATTTTCTGAAAAGTAATGCGATTTCTTCCGCGCCACACGGAGTGATTTCCTCTAGCATACTCGCATGATAAGAGAGCGAATATTTCAATAGGCCTCCCAGAAATTTTTGTTCAACTATTACATCTCCTGGCTTATGGTGACCACAAGGAGAAACGATTCCACCATCGACACCGTTCTTCGAGATCTAAATATCGGCATCGATAGTGACGTGGTCGTGGCTACCTCGCCATTACCGAATGACGCTGTTGCTTGGATGTATGCTCAGAAATACCGAGACAAGTAAGTTGCAAGTTTTCGCATTCTCGCGTATACATATAATAAAAAGTATACTACTACTCTAATAATCCTCAAATTTGCTGTAAATGACAGAAGTAAGATTTGTTGAAACATTAGTAAAATAAGATGTTTGTTCTTTATGTTGCATCGCACTTATAAAAGAACTGCTTATCTTAACACGCGTAAAGTTTCTATTTGAATAATCCTATTTATGTGAACTGATAGAAACAATATAGTCTCTTATTTTAAACAGTGAAGAAGTGGAGATATAAAATGAAGATATAAAAATGAAGAGTTGGCAAATAAACTGAAGAAATAAAAATATTTGTTGAACCTTTTGTATTTTCTTTCATTTTCACGAAATCGCTACACGATACGCTAGAACGATACTACTAGAACGATATCAAACGAGTCTTTCTTTTTATCACAGGATATGCAGATCTCTTCGACGATATGGGGATCGCTTCGAGTTCACGGGGCCACCGGAGCGACGCACCGTCGAGAACGCGACGAGCAATTTGAGCTATGTCACTGAGGAGAATCGCACGGTGTCGTTCTACTTGATGCACACTTACAAAATACGTCATTCCGACAATACGAGTCTAATTGTCCGATATCTCGGTTTCTGGAATCCGGAGTCTCATACCCTGAAGCTGCCGATGAGCGTGAAGCTCAGAAGCGATTTCAATGGCCTTCCTATTGTCTTTGGAGTGTTGAACGGAACCAGCGACGGGCAGACCGACGTTACCGAATCAGAAGCTACCGCCAACGATCTCGCACCGCTTTTGGACTTTGCTACCATTGTTACAAATAGCGTGAACGCTAGGTGAACGGTCACTCGGTCGTATTAAAACGCGTATAGTTTTTCAATTTCTTAATTATATTCCGGATATATAATACATTACGTCTAAACCTTTACAAAAGAACTTTGAAATCAAATAAGTCTATCTGTTTAAGGCAGGTTTTGTTAATCTTCGAGATAATTACCGTGCAAATTAAACGTTTCAAAATAATTAAATGTAGAATAATTGAAATTTGAAACAAAAGATATTTTTACATAGAATAAAACAATTGTGTATTACAGGGTAATGCAAAATCCGGAATAAATATAATTTATTTTGAACTTTTGCAGCATTGAGCTCGTACCGCACGAAAAACTCGGTACATTAACTAACAAAGTATGGAGCCATCTCCTTGGCGATGTCGTGACCGGCGCCGTCGATATTGGTTTAGGATATGTAACGGCGAACGACGAGGAACGTTGGACGGAGATGACGTTTAGTCATCCTTTGATACGATACATGTCGGTAAAAGTTTTCAAAATTACATTCAAAGAAGTCAAAATTAATAGACGGAACAATATACAATCCGATTGTCATGTACTTAATATATTCTTAATTTATTTCCATTTCCGTATGCAAATATATTCCGCCATTTATTATGGGGAAATTTTTAATTCATCCATTATCACTCCGTATAAGTCATATCGTTAAATCAGCGTTAATTAACATAGATTATGAGGTCATAGAGCTTGTTTTAAATATAAATATCACCTAAACATTTATGTATACACTTTATGTTATTTAAAAGAATGCAAAGGCAATATTGCAGAAATTTGGAATCTATCTTTTGAAATTGACCCAGATAGCGAGAATATACTCGAGCAATTTATGGAACTAAAATGCCAGCGACTAATGTTAGGAAGATGAATTCATTGTTTGAGTGATTTCAAGACAGCATAATGTTAACTTATCCGTCGTATTTTAAGTACACAGCTAAAAAAAGAACGTCTCGAGTGGACATACTATTAACAAAGAGTTAGCGTACATTATTTTCAATGTTTTCACGGACATAAACATGTTATATCTATTCTGGCCAAGCACTTCCCAGCGAGAAATGACTCGTCGATCGATGTCGAAACGACATCGACATCGTCAAATTGCTAGCAAACAACAGCACAACAGACGACATAGATGCATAGCAAAAGTTATGTTAGCAATATGAAAGCAACTCGTTCGCACACTGGCTATCTGGGAATATATACACCCGGGAAAAAATGAAAATATCTCATTATATATGTCTCAATCATGTAGTATCTAATTATATCTAATTCTAAAATCATCAAATCTTCAGAGATCTGATACTTTTCTTGGGTACTCGAAGTTATGTCTATTGAGATCTAATTAAATGTCTTAATGGAACATTTAATTAGATTTAGTTAGATCTCAATAGATGACCTCGAACATTCGAGAAAAGTGTCAACTCTCTGAAGATCTGCTGAACTTTAAAATTGCGTCTCATGAGATATAATTAGATGTTACATGATTGAGACATATATGAGATTTTTCATTTTTTTTTCCTGGCATTTTTGGTCTAAGTAGTGTAAAATGGAGCGTGGTTAAATGCAGATAATCAAAATGTTTAACAAAGCGTACAAAATTTCATTTACAGTTTCATAAATACAATATTTCTTAGATATTTCTTGACGAGGAATAGCATTACGTAATTAATGGAGGACGTTTCAAAACTATTTTGTATAAGATGTAGGTTTTCTGTTACATAATCATAAAATAATATTTAACGCAGGAGAAATATTTATTACCATCCATTGGAGACCGGCACGATGAGGGATATTTTTTTACAACCGTTCGACAATCGATTGCTCGGTTGCGTCGCGGGGACATATCTCATCATGTTAATCGCAATGGCGACGGTTATTTACGCCGCTAAAACATTGTTGCATGATGAGGATGAAAAACACGTCGGAATCGGGGAATCTGCACTTTGGTGCTTGAGTATCATGTGCATGCAAGGTTATCTTTTTCTTTCATCATAAAATACGTTATTATAGGCAATGGTTTATCATTTTGCATTTTTCTCCAAGACACAATTGTCTACACGCTAATCCAGATGATACGTAATAATACACGACGTACCGTACGTAAAATTTATCGCTAATCAAACGATTGGACTTTCTAGGATCACCCTGGATGCCGCAAAGCCCGTCTGGGAAGACTCTGTTGTTGTTCAGTTTAATATTCTCCCTCGTCATGTACAACGCTTATGCCGGCTTCATCACGTCCATATTGTCGGTGCAGGCCACTGGAATCAAATCGATCACGGATCTCCTCTTTAATAACTTCAAGCTAGGATACAGTGCCGCCGATGATACATACATAAGGGTACTATCAATTACTATTATTTCATATTATTTTCATTATAACGTTTTGCCCCGTTAATATTTTACACCGCTAAACAAAGCCACGCGACATTTAAGAGACATCTCCATGAAGACACTTAAAACGCTTGAAAAACTGCTCCTTTCGAGTATTTTTTTTTTTTACAAAATTATGTTTTTCGGAGAGGCCTGTAATTATTTTAGACGCAGTAGCACTGTCATCTTTCAGAATGCAAACGACAGCAATCTCCGTCAGTTGTATATAAAGGCGTTCAACAATCGCGAGTCCCGCCTGGAGACGAGGACCGGCCTCATGAAAGCCGTCAAAGGACGATACGGATTCTTCGTCAGCGCGACACTCGCACGGCGAGCCCTTCGAACGACCTTCATACAGGAACGATGCACCTTGAAAGAGTTGCTGCTTCCGCAAACGCTTACAGTCGTCGGTCTTCCCATGGCCAAAAGCTGCCCGTACAGGAAGATAATTAATCTCAAGTATGCAAAGTTGTCTTTACATCTGTCGTGCACCTGGCGCCGAAAATTAAAGATGACACTCAACTAATTTTTACAGCAAATTTCAAAATTTTTTAATATATTTTCCTCCAGTATAATCTGTAACTTAAATGTAATTCATTTATTATTTTTAAAATAAGACCATAAATTGAAAAGTTAACGAGAAAACTTTGACTTTCGAGTTGTATTTTTCCTTCAGTTTTAGTATCAAGGTCAATGCGTTATGTTTGATAAGAATATAATTTTCTTCCAAACTACGGATACTTATTAATCATAAATTGTTTTTTTTTCGTAATGGAACGTCACGTGTCAATAATGTCCTCATTACGGTACAAATTCTCTTAAGTGCTCTTTTAAATTGTTTTATTAAGTAGTTTAAATTATTTTAAATAAAGAAGAGCAACAAGTCTTATTTTATTGATAACGCAAACACACGTGCCATTTATTCTTAAGTATTGTGTGTTTTTATCGGAAACAATTTTTGGTATACAACCTCTTCGACAAAATTCAATCGTCGCCGACAGCTGTCTTGCAGCACGAAATCAGCCAAACGAGAGAACCAATCAGCATCGCGGAAAAGCGACAATGAACTTTCCATGCCTTTTTTAATATAAAAAAATGTATTCTGTTTGCAGTATATTGCGGATATACGAACGCGGCGTCCTGGACAAGATACAGGAACGGATGCTGCCGACGATGCCGCGGTGTGCGTCGTCGGCGGCTTTCAACAGCGCGAGACTCGCCGACGTCTACTCTGCCTTCTTCATCCTGGTGGCGGGTTTGGTTATCGCGATTTCCATCGGCATCTTCGAAAGGATATGGAACAAACGGAGGCAGATGCGGGAAACTGTCGTGCGCGGTATGCGCAGGCACAATCTAATACCGCATCTCCACTTCCATCATCATCACGACGGTGGTCGCGATCGTCTCAACGCCCGTCATCCTCAGCTTCGCGTCGCTGCCCCGACCGGGAAATTACGCGGTTACGATCCCGCTTGCCTGACCATGCTGCAGAATCACGCTCGTCAAGTGCAGTCGTTCGTCGGTTTGCAAGTACGCGACGTTTCTCCCGAGAAACCGGGGGGTCCCGCTCTGGAGCCGCGTTTGCAGGTACGGCGGAGATCGGCAGGTCCCAAGAGAGCGATCTGCTCCTCCTTCGCGGGCTTGCCCAAGAAGATGAGATCGACCGAGAGAATCCCGCCGACCTCAAACGCGGAAAACATCCGAGTCTTTCCGTTCCGCAATTGAAACGTCACTCTGCCGTCCCGGAGTTTTCCTTTAATGTGATACTAGCCTCGCTAATTAGTCGTAAAACTATCTTACAAGGTGCATTATGCAGTCTCACAGGCTGTAAAATTAGTATGACAAATGCTTCGCTTTTATTCCAGTCGTAGCTACAAAATCATTATCAAATATACACGGAAAAAAACATTTAGCTGCTGTAGCTAAAACTTAGTAAAATATGGACAGCTAATATTTTTAGTTGAGACAGCAAACCGTTTGCTGTCGTAGCAAAATATTGAGCTATCACAACTAAAAATATTAGCTGTCCATATTTTACTAAGTTTTAGCTACAGCAGCTAAATGTTTTTTTCCGTGTAGCATGTTAAATGTGCGTATAATATTGCTTTAGATAATATTTTTATAAAATCATATGCGTAATTAAAAATACGTAAATGGTCACCTAAAATTATTATACATATTCGGCTAGAAGCTTCACGCGAGCACCAAAAGTCTTTGTAGGTACTTGTCGCCTGTACACAATGTCTATGCCTCTACAGTCTCGCAAACTGCTAATCTCGTTTCTGCGGCAAACACAGGGATTCCCTTCTTCAAATTATGCAATTAAATTTGATGTGAGCCTGAGAAATAAAAGATGAAAATATGAAAGGAGTAAATCTCGAATCGAGAAATATACCTGCAGAGGATGTCTTCTAGATTGGGAAGGTGCTCGTCATCCTCGCACCACTCCTTCCAGGTTCTGTATAATTGCAGCTCTTGTATCTCATCGAGATAGTCGTGACACGTATTTCTCAAACTACGACGTACTCATAATTAATGCCGTAAATCGAGATCGACAGAATAAAGAATTAATGACTTATTCTCTAAATAAAACTACTTGGTTGACTCTTTCAGCCTTTCATATAATAATTTAAATCGTTTTTTTTAGAAAGCTAAGTATAACGGAAGCTTTTTTTTCCATAAAGATCTCACCTTTTCTCCCACAGTCCATCGGCGGACGAGGAAATGAGCTTGTCACCCGGTAACGAGTCGGAGATAAATCTTTTACCATCAATGTCTCGCAAACCGTAGCTGTAAGAATCACGATTGCTGCATCAGTGAGAAAGCGCGCACGCTGTATTAAATTACGTAGCGAGGAAAGGAAAGGTTTACTGGCGAAAAGAATGGTCGCAGATGGTCCTTAAAAGAAGTACGACCTCCGTTTTGTTTAGCCAGTCATCAGGCGCCATCATATCGTGAATCTCCAACAGAGTGTGATTAATCTACGAGAAGATTATGAGGGATTCCCAGTGAACACCAAGCACTACATTTATGTTACAAGTTCTCACTCAACAATGTAAATGCAATATACCCAGCGAGAACTGACTCGTCGATCGATGCCGAAACGATGTCGAATTGATGTCGAATCGACATCCTTTCGACGAATCAACTTTCACTGGGTAACACTTATGTCATATTACATTTACATCGTTGAGTATGAAATTGTAACGTAAATGCGATATAATTGATGCTCGGTGTTCACTGGGTTACGACAAATACATTTTAGCAGAAAACATGGACGCGCGTGCGCGCTCGCGTGTAGTGTGGGTGTAAAATAATAGATTTATGTTTTAAACATTGATCTGTTATAATAGATTTAAAAGAAAACGAGATAATTTAGATTAACGAGGCTCTGCGAACCTCCTCGGCGACGGCCACGCACATGCCGCATCTTACGCACGCGGAGGACAGATCCACGTGCAACGCGCCGCATGCATCTGCAACGCAGGTGCCGTACGGGATCATTCGCACTACTCCAAAGCTGGACGATCTGCAGTCGCAATGGGGATCGACGGTGACATTCGAGTCCGTCAGAGGGTTGTAGCGGACGGTGGTGGCACATGCACATTCGTCGTCGTTTCGATGAACGCGCGTTCCGCCGCGTTTGCCGAAGCTGCAGCCACTCGAGGTGAGCGCGAATGACAGCAGGATCAGCAGCGTCGCTTCCAAGGACATTGTCCCGGCTCCGTCATGTCGTCTCCGAGGAGACGAGTACGGCTCTGAATCGGAAGGAACAGTTAACGCGCTACGAACGAGATAACGAAGCGAGAGAACGAGTTCTAAATCGTTTCGAAGTAATTGGCAATTTTTAAATCAACTTCCGACACGACGCACATATCGAGGAACTTCCGAGGACAGATGAAGCACGAAAACATTAATTTTTCGATAAAAAAAGATACACGCGTATGAAATTTCTGCATGCAAAAAATTTAAAAATAATATCGTCGGAGTTGTTTCGCAAACGAAAAATAAAGATATTCAGTAGCTGCTCGAAATAAAAAAGCACACTGGCAGCAGATTGCTTTGAATTTATGCGCAATAAAGTTTTAATTCTGCGCAGCGTCGATAGAGCGTCGATAGAAGTGAAAGAAATCTTACAAATAAATCTTTTTTGTGTTAAGAAATAGAGGACAAGAGAGAGAGAGAGAGAGAGAGAGAGAGAGAGAGAGAGAGAGAGAGAGAGAGAGAGAGAGATTTATATCATCGATTTTAAAATCAATACTCCATGGACTTAGTATATCAAGACAGACATATCTCGCATCAAGTAGAAGCATCCTCGACCACCTCAATGGGCAGTACATAAAGGACAGAAGAAGTTTAAACAAGTTTTGAACAAACGAACATTGGAGATAGTCGACGTTGATCGCAGTTTCAACATTTATAATCTCTACGGTGATTTGTCGCGACGACGACGCGACACGACGAACCGCCGCGTGCGGTTGCGATTCGTTTAAAACGCGACGTCTACTTCAAATTATGCGCGATATTCGTCGCGACAAATCACCGTAGAAATTAACGATATGATTTGACATCCATTTTTCTCTTGCCATCCACTTTTAGCTCAATATCAATGATTACTCCCGTTACGAAAAATCAACAACACTCTTGTGTTACCGACATTTCATGCATGCGGCACGGGACACAACTCTCTGGGGCTCGATTCTTGAATGTATATTCTGCTCTTACAGAAAAGTTGCAAGTTGATTGGCTATTCGAATGGCTTTGACCAATCGACTTTCAACTTTTCTGTCGGAGCAGAATTTTCGTATACGTTTCTTCTTCGAATGAATTCAAGAATCGAGCCCCTGGTGTTATTGAGCTTTTAGATGACTCGACGCGCGCGCGGCAGTGTTTAAAAAATGCACTAGAGCCGCGGGAGCAGTGCAGCCAAGCGCGGTCGCCAAGCTCACCGAAGCGAATCCCCCGTGCGTCCACGGTGCGCGCACGCGCGTGGCATCCTCGAGGACCTCGAGAGACTCCGCCAGGAAGATCGTTCGACAACGATGCTGGCACGGCGATTTCTACGCGGGAGGCAGCTGTGGCACGCCTCGTGCGTCTGCACGCCGGTCCGGCACACACAGAGCCAGCAGGTCAGCCAGGATGCGCTGGACACGGTTAACCTCGAAATGCGGCTGCCGGCCGCCTTCAAGAAGCATCCGCAGCGGCAGCCGTTCGCCAAGAATCTGTTCCTCGCCTCGTTCGACCACGAGTTCATGTATTATCCCGAGCCGCAGACCAAGGACCGGCATCGGCGCTTCTCCGAGTGGTTGCAGCCCATCGAGAAGTACATGTCGGAGTGCCTGGAGGATCCGGCGCGGACGTTGCGCAAGGACGAGGTTCTCGCTCGCCTCAGGGAGCTGGGCGTCTTTCGAGCGTGCGTGGCCGAGAAGTACCTCGGCCTGGACCTCAACCGCACGGAGTCGGCCAGGCTGGTGGAGGTGCTCAGCTGCCTGCCCTGGCTCGGCTGCTACATGGTCAAGAATCACATCGTGCCGGTGCACCTCATCTCCACGCTGGCCACGGACGAGGTGAAGGCCAGGTATCTGCCGAGGATAGCGAGCGGCGAGCTCGTGCCGACGGTGTGCTTCACCGAGCCCGGCAACGGGCTCAACACGCTCAACGTCAGCAGCACGGCCGAGCCGTCGGACTTGGACTGGACGTTGAACGGCGAGAAGACATTCGTGGCCAACGGCCACGACGCCAATCTGTTTCTCGTTTTCGCGCACAGCGGCCATTCCCACGCGATCAGCATCGAGAACACGATGCTGTCTATATTTCTGGTGGAGCGAGAATTCGGCGGCGTCACGAGCAAGGACGTCAAGCGCCTGGTCGGGCTGCGGGACAGTCCTGTCTGTACGGTGACTTTCGGGAGCACGAAAGTGCCGAAGGAGAACCTCCTGGGTGAGGTGAGGTCCGGTACGGGCGTACTGATAGACATGCTCGCGCCCGGGAACAGGCACCTCGCCGCGCAAGCGGTCGGCACGCTCAAGACCTTCACCAAGACGCTGACGAAGCATGTGTTGCGGCGGAAGCACATGGACAGAAATATGCACGAGTACGAGAGCGTGAAAGAGGTGATAGGCAAGGTGGCGAGCACCCTGTACGGCATGGAGAGCATGCTGTACTATACCACTGGTATGATGGACACGTTCGACAATCAGGACTGCACGCTCGAGAAGGCCATGGTGGAGGCGTACTGCACGAGCGAGTGCGTCGCGCGCATCTACGAGGGGCTGCAGCTGATCGGCGCGTACAGTTACCTGAGGGAGGAGCCCTACATACGGACCTTCGAGGACGCGCTGTCGTACACCCTCTTCGACGGCTGTCCCCTCGACGCCAACGCATACGTAGCTCTGCTCGGTCTGCAGCACACCGGCAAGAATCTGAGCAAGCACATATTCAAGCTGCGAAATCCGTTCAACTTTCCCGAATACATAGCCAAGTGGACCTTGGGTAAGGAGTACCGGCTGCAGCTGAGGGTAGCCGAGCACCTGCACCCGTCCCTGGCGTGCGGCAGCAAGGAGCTGGAGAAGTGCATCACCAACCTGCAGAAGGTCTCGGTGCTGTTGCTGGAACGCCACGGCGCGGACGTGCCGGAACGACAGATGGAGCTGCGCCGACTCGGCGAACTGGCGACGAGAACGTTCGCGCTGATCACCGTCCTCTCGCGCGCCTCCCGGGCGTACTGCATCGGCGTGAGAGATCACGACTACGACCGGAACATGGCCGACAGTTTCGCGATTCTCTCCATAGACAGGGTGCGGATTCTCGCCGACGAGATCGTCGAGGGAGAGTGGAACAACGGCGACGATTGCAACAAGACTGTCGCCCAACTTATGTACGAGAAAAAGGACTTTTTTGCCGAGCACCCGCTAAACCGAACGTACTAGATGTTCGGTGGATTTAGTTTACTCTATACATAGTGCGTACACGATGGAAAAAGAGAGAGACAAAGTTAGCGAAAGCGCGTTTGCTTGATGCGATCAATGTATTTAAATCGCATAAGCGATCTCTGTGTGCGGCGCTCGCAAGCCGCGCGCGTTTCGCGTCTAGAAGATATTGATATACCTGTAAATTTTCAACCGAATTACCGGTTTTTTTAAAATAATGTAAGATAGTAAGTGTGAGCTGTAAAAAATGTATAATATAGCTGAACTCGTCTCAAGAACAAGGAATACACGTTGTTTTCCACCGAGGTTTCTGTATTTATACGTCAGTAGCAATTGTACAGTCGTTACACTGTACTTATGTACTAAAGATCAAGATGGAAAGTAAAATAAACGCTCTTACTTAGATTCTCTTCTATCGGACGATTCCTAAAATCTGCTTTTCAATTGCGAATCGCACGTCGCTTAATGTAGCTCGAGATACATGCCTGTAACGCCTTTACTATTTATCGACCATCGCTCGCTACATAGGACTTTTTGATGTGTACACGAAGAGGTGGACGGTATTTCTCTACAGACGTAACACGACTAGTCGTTCTAGACTCGTAAATATGAAATTCTATGTATGTAGGATCACTGGAAGAACCTTGGCTTTTCACTCGTATAACTTTCCTTATTGGTACTTAACAGCTATAGTCTCTCGGCTTGAACAACGACATGCTCCTCCCGATATGAATCAGTCGCCGACCAACAGCTTCTGACGCAGGTGTATATCAAGACGGTGCCGAACTCGATCTGGAAATTCCGCTCGCTTCTCGGATTCAGTATTAATTTTGGTATGATCGTCGGTAAAACTTGCAGCTCGAAGATCATCTCGTCGCCGCAATGCCGACATTTCCCGATACAGCCGCTCAGCGGATATAACAGCAACGGTGCAGAATTATCCCTCGAATAGCTGAATAGTAAAATTCTATATACAATTATAGAATAAACGGAAAAGAAATAAATATACGAGGTCTGACCTGGCTCCCTGCGACTTCTGGCTGTTTCCCAAATTGAAAAATCCTCTTAAGGGATGAAGATTTGACGACGCGGAGGAAATAAAAAGGAACGAAGCGGCTGTTGGCTATTTCGAAAGCTGAAGGAGTGTTTCCGAAAGTGGGAGGATCGCTGGAAGAAGGTTGTAGCTTTCGAAGGGGACATCGTCGCCATTGATCAGATTTAGCTCTTTCTCTTGCTGCAGCACAAGGTCTGGCACTTTCCGGACAGACCTCGTATACGAATAAACGTCGCTAAAGATTTTACCGTAACAGCTGTCCAGGATTCCTCTGTATTCTGCAAAGGAAGTTGTGAAACATCTCGTCGCCGTGTTTAGGAATGCTCTTCTCGTACTTCTCCACGTCCGTTTCGATAGTTTTAGGATTGCCCGAGTCCGGCGTGAACTTGGTCGACGCGTCCGGATTGCTGTGCTGATATTCGACCAGCAAGTCTCGAACGTGCTGGGACACGTCCGTGCTGTAATCCTCCTCGTCGACCGAGAGGAATACCTCGACGAACGAACATTTGGTCTCCGCGTTTGTGATTTGCAACGGCAACGGAGTGACCTCGTGCAGTAAACTAACTAAATCACATTGCGGCCGCGTCGGAGTGTCGATGCACACGACCTCGCTCTCGTCCCCGTCGATCTCCGCCGAGGCTTGGGGAGAATCCAAACGACCCACGGCACCGCCGCTGACCGGGGAGTCTACGCTGGCTGGACTGAAACGTTTGAGGAAGAAAAATAAGATACATAGATCCAGAGTATGGATATACTTGTTACTTTTACAAGTTACTTTTCTTGGTAACGTACTGGCAACGACGTTACTTTTTATATTTCGGACCTGGTTATAAAATATAACACTGCAATTTCTTACATTTAATCTTCAGGCATCGATTGATATTCATAATCTATTATTATGAGTTGTTATATTTAAGATAGGTTTAAAATTGCGTTAAAAAGTTGAACGAAAAATTGAGAGTACAATAAAAAAACTAGCTATATTTGTACTTTTCATAGAAGTCAAAATTTTATATCCACATTTTGAGCGTTTTCAAATTTATCTTCTTAAATTTTTCATGGTTTTGCAACTTTAAAATAAAAAATTGTTCTAATATTTTTATTAGTGGAAAAACTTAAAAATAGATAACATCAAACTTGACTGACCTTGTCTGGCAATTTTTACGTATTAGGACTCGCTACGTTTCGACCGTGAATGACTTTTAGAGAGACTTTTCGACATAGACTTTTAGAGAGCGCACAAACCTATTTGCATTCGGATCGTCCACGCGCAGCACAGACAACTCTTCCCGTATATCCTGATCTATTTCTTTGTGCAGGGAAAAGTGGAATTGTAACGGATCGTTCTCCAGCATGTTATTCCCATTTTGTTCCGACGCATTGTCGTTCACATTGTCCCCCCAGTCGTCCGCGTCCGACAGCCAGGCCGTCGTAGATGGCACGTTAACGGAGTCCGGCACACTCGTCCTGGCCTCGTCCTCCAGATGCTGTATTCTCAAGCACGTCCAGCTCTCGTTCTGATTCCAGCAGTTCGAGTTGATGCACGCAAATATGTACAGTGTCCGATGGTACTTTGAGTTATCTAACGGAGCGTACAATTGGAGCGCCAGGAGCTGATACAAGCCGCAGAGTCTGCACTGCGGCGACGATAGTGTGTTCTTCCCATGACAATTCTGTAACACGAGCATACTTGGATTATTATATGCGCGATTATATACGCCGAGCAAAGTAGCCACACATACACACACAAGTCGAGTAATGTCGGCTGAAACGTCAGTGAAACTGTTTCAACTATAATTGACACTCGAGACGTGCATGTTAACCCAGATAGCACAGTGAATTCTTCAAGTTTCCTCCTTCTCTGAATTGTAATTTCTTGACGAATTCATAGAAGAATACAATAAGAATGATTGGGGAAGCTACGTGCACGAGAATGAACTTCCGAGTAATAGTTCGAGCCCAACAATCACAGCGCTCACATGTATCCTCATTTTACATTTCGACGCTGTCTCTTCTGACAACGATGACCCACTTAGTAATACTTGAAAAGGACCCAAAGTATAGGGTCGAAACGTTGTATCAATTTAAATAAAGCAACTAGCCAGTTGGGTTGACTACAAGTTCCCGTTACAATTCCGAGTAATACCTCAAGACGAATTAGTTGCGGCTGATTCCTCAAGAGTTCTTCAGATATTCAGTTTTCTAATATCCGCAGGTATTCTTTAAAATAAACTCTATAAACTTACGTTCACCCTTGTGCTACCTGGGAGGCGATATTTTTCCAATAGCCAAATATCCCGTGCATCATACAAAAGTGTTTCGTGTCCACATAAAAGTGTCTCGCTCTGTCCCGCCGAATGTTCGACGGGCGATCGCGGGTCGACCTAGTAAGAAAAAACATAGGCACCGCGCGAACGGGGGTGGGGGGTGAACGGCGATTCCCGCGAAGGCGAGTCCCTCGTCCCCTACTCACCGGATGCCCGCCGATCTTGTTCGTCGTGAAGTTGAGCAGGGACCGGTGCTTGTCGGCGACGTACTCGTCCTCGTACCCGAGATACACCCTCGTGCGATTGTCGCAAGCCATTTAAGTCATTCGGTCGTAGCTCTACATTGGAAGACCACGGATGCGGGGCGAGCAACACCTGTACTCTCCCCGTTTCGCTTCACGATCGGGACAGCTGACACGCATCAGTAACGCTCGACGCGTGCGCCTTCGTCGGCTCGCGCGTCTCCCCTATCGATTTTTTCGGGGCCGCCCGCCGGAGCAGTGGTCGGACAGCCGCCCGGAGTATTCTCGTTTCCACGCGAGAGACGCCGGCGAACGTTCACTCTCTGCCTCACCGCGTCCACGGAACACACACGCACGTGTCGCTCCTCTTGATGAGAAAAAATAAAAAGCGAGAACACCCGCTCGTCCCGGCTTTGCACCTCCTGTAGCTAGAGCGAAACGTGTATACGTCCGACTGACGGAGGTAGACAGAGAAGAGAGAAACGCAGTGCAGAAGGCGCAACTCTCAAATGGAATTCTATACTTGTATTTTACATTTATTCTTTAAAAGAGAAAAAAATAACAGATTTATAAACAAGTTTTGCAAAAGACGCGTTTATTCTCCCCCCCCCTCTCTCTCTAATAAAAAAAAAGGGTAAAGATGATAACATTAAATTAGTAGAAAACAGTATTCTTTATTTAACACATGATGTAAGAGAAATGGTAGCCTACCAGTACGTTTGCTTGTCGCTAAATATCATCTTTACTATTTTCTGACTGATCAGTCTCATGGTATGAGTAGGCACTGCGGACGTGTACAAAACGCAAAGTATATTGTCACCGTGTTTCACAGCATGGCATTTGTGATACTCGGAGCACAAGTACGTTTCCTTCGCCCCGATGAACTTGCAGGTACTCGCGGTCGCCCTCTCGTCGCCGCTCTCCTCGTGCTCGGCCGAGAGCGCGAACGTCTCGACCGCCTGATGATAGAACGTTCGCAAGATGTCCAATCTGTGCGAGCCCGTCGCGCGGTTTTTCGCGCACTGCGAGTTTCTGCCGAGCACGAATTTTTCCGTCTTGTAGTTCGCCAGTAGAAAGCTGAAATATTTGTACAACGTTATGGCCAAATGACAGGTGAATCGTGGAGAACAGACTCTCTTATCACGAGACACGGTAGCGTCTCGCGCCAAGTATAAGCGTAGCTAGAACTCGCGCGCGCGAGACCGACCGTGTAGTTTACGCGAGTACGCGAGTCGACAGGCCCGTCAGATTTTCGGATCTCAACAACGGCCGACCCGACGAACTTCAAACTGCGCACAATCGATAGCTTGGGTTTGATTTGCACAATAAAAGTGTTTTCATTTTTCTCCTGCGTGCCCCATGAGTGGAGATATTGCATTCCGATTACCCGAGTGTCTCGCTGTCCAACGAGATCGACGTAGGCAAGTTTCGCGGATAAGATTGTTCGATAGTGCACAGCGCGTCCATATTGCTCTTCCAGCACTGCACAGCGAATCTCTCGATTTCCGTTAGTTCTGGATTTGGCCCGCACAACGCCAGGACTTCCACGTGATTGATCAGAGTTACAGACACCAATCTGAAGGCTACCTAAACGGAATATTGTAAATTGAAATTGCACGTAATTATCCTCACGTTCCGTATGCTTTTAATTTCAGAAATTAATTGCCACATACATTCCTGTTTACACGAAATTTTTTTTAATTTATCCTGAAAATCATGTAATCGGGAGACAACATAGCCTTTCGAAGAATTTTGTGAGTTTTTTGGAAATTTTACCATACATTCTACTAGTAATTATACACTTTACTAGTAGAATGTATGGTAAAATTTCAAACAACCCTCATACAGTTCTGCAAAATGCCGTATGTTGTCCCACCACTGCACGATTTTCAGGGTGGATTTTAAGAGAACATTCTATCCGTGTAAAAATACGTACGTTTGGACTTTTGCGCGGTAAAAACACCGGAATGTCTCGCGTGGTGCAAACGATCTCCGAAGCGATCGCCGTTGTCAATAATTTTCTTTCCACAGAGTCCAGCGACCACCAGCCTTCCGTAGCAGCTGCCACGCAGCCGTGCACCAGAACGCACCCGTACATCGAGTCCAGGCACTCCATAAATCCCTCTAAACAGGTCTTGAACGCACATTTATTGAGTGTAGCGTGTAACTTGACGCCGCATCTACGCGAGAAACCTTCGGTACCTGAAGCAAATGACTCTCCGAAGAGATGATGCATTCCGTCATGTTAATCATATCGGTTTTCGCGGCGATCTTATCCCCCACGTTCAAGCAGTCCATTAATCTGTCGATAATAGGGCTGCAGAGACGCATGTCCTTCTTGAGCCTCTCTACGTTCTTCGTGTTCTTTATCTCGTCGATGCCGGCGAAGAGTACCATGGCGCCGAAGGTGGCGTCCAGAAACCTGTCCAGCACGTACTTCGTCACTCCGCTCGCGATCGCTATCAGTATGATGCACTGCTCGAACTCCTTCCACGCCACCGTCACGTCCGGCAGATCCGTGCTGAGCAGAGTGACGTCCTGCGACTTCAGGAACATGTGAACGCCATTGAGAGACGCGATCTTCGAGAACGTTATCTGCAAACAAAAAGTTTTCAGTCCTAAGACATCTGATTTCCGCGCAGCGAGGCGTCGGGTATTCTCGTGGGCGCGCTCAGACCCTCTATTCCCAACGTCTGTGAATTCTAACGAACCGTTAACTTTCGATTTCTGTCGGCTATCTGGTAGACAGTCAACAGACGTTGGAAATGGTGGCCCTAATGCCCGTTTCTACCAATGCAGATTAACTTTGATCTCGGTTAACTTACTTTTTATCTCTTTCTAGTTTTTAAAATCGGAAAAAAGATAAAAGGCAATTTAAACAGAGATCAAAGTTAATCTGCATTGATAAAAATGGTGTAAAATGTTTAAGATCCAGTTTCACCAACATTGTTTAACTTTAAGCTTAGCTTAATTCGTTCTATCTCTTTTCAAACGTTACTTTAGAAAGAGACAAACATGAGTTAAGCTAAGATTAAAGTGTTAAGTGACGTTTGGTGAGACCGGGCCTAACTTCTCGTGCGTTTACCATGTCGCTGTCTCCCTTCTGGCGCGAGAACAGGGGAATCCCTCCGGAGGAAGTTAGGCACATGACGTGCGCCGACATTCTTGCTCAGTGCTGGAATCCTGTAGTTTGACACTCGCAGCACTACTGTTACGTCTTGAAGCGCTTGAAAAATTATATAGAAACAAATTTAATATAAAGGCAAGTCCTCTATTATGAGATAGCAGGTTTTCAACACCCAAATTCAATCGCAAATCTATTTTCGCAACAATTGCACAATCTAACAATGAATTTTCCACTAAACAGATTTCGCCCCAAGGGCAATAAATTCATGGTGGGATCAACTGATGACGCCTGTTAATTTAAAAGAAACCCCGCTATCCCATATTAGGATTCTTTCTCATAACAGGAGGCTTTCCTCTACTGTTCAGATTGCACAAAGGTGAGCATAAGTTTATACAGAATTCCCAAGCAGAGCAAGAAGTCATGATGAAGTCCAAGTGACATCACAATGGCTATCAAAAGTTTATATCTTGATCATGGAAAGGTCAAAATATAAAGAAAATTGATTAAATTACATTTCTGAAAGTTAGAGATGCTGCTCGACATGGTTCGCGATAAACTTGAACTTTACTTTAAAAAATTACACATTTTCGCGAATTCGTAAAATATAATATTCGCGAGATTTCAATCATTTTGTACGCACGAGCGAGTTAACGAAAAGTCCAATTGCGCGTCATCAAAAGTGCCAGGTGATATCATCCTGACTTTCCAACGACGTTTCTGTACCCCTTGGGTTCGCTTTAAAGAATACCTGTGAAAACTGAATATCTGAACGATTCTTGAAGAATCAGTTGCAATCGACTCGCCTGCAAGTGTTCCTCAGACGTTCATTACGGCGCATGTAACTTCTCCGATCATCCCTCTATTCCTAAAATTACAAGAGAGAGAGCTTGAGGAATACTTTGCAAATTCACCGCGCTACCTGGGCCAGAAATCAATGCTCCGTACCTCGACTAATCGCGTGTAGGTGGTCCAACGCAAGATACTTTGTACGATCGATCGGTTACAACATTTTACAAACACCTTTTTACAGGCAAATTACAAGACCAGATTTGTACTTAGCGAGAAGTCTTGGTCAGTACGCAAAAAAAAATCGCGTGATAAACATTGTGAGAACTTTCCGAGCTCGACTTTGGCGAGAGGTAGATCTTTTCCATCGTGTGGAATTTTGAAAAGACGAGTGCCGAGCCTTCGACTACAGTTGGGTGTCGAGCGACTATCCGGCACGAGGATCAACTTTCTCTCCTTCTCGCCATTTCTCGAACGACTTCGTTAAGCTTATTCCGTTAAAACAAAATTACTCTCGAAGGCAGTTACTTGGCACAGACTTCCGTTTCGAAATCAGGACTCGAGTACTTTTATCAAGCTCTTTGACAGACAGTCGGGGTCTCCTCGTTGGCGGTCGCAAGAAACTTGCAACTGCCTTTCTCCCTCAACTAAGATCTTGCAAACAACCTCGTCCAGCCCCCAACGCACTCAAACCTCCCTCAGCGTTCCCCACGCTTCTTTCTAAAAAAAAATACATATTATATATACAGGGAACCAAGACTCGAAGGGGAGCAAATCGAAGAACTCAATCGAGCGAGGTAAAACGCAGGGGCGAAGCCTCGCGCGGCGTACTTTAATCAGTTTAATCCTTCCTCGCCGATAGCCGCGACGTACGAAAATAACTAGTGACGGGTGTCGCGCGTGCGGCCACGAACCGTCGCTTTCAGGTTCACGATTGGCCGAGTCGCTCCGCGCGGTTTCCGCTCTACCGGCGCTCCGTCCCAGACCACAGCCGGCGCAGCGCGAGCAGACTTCTGTATACTACAAGGGCTCGATTTTTGAATTTATTCGAAAGAGAAACGTACGCGAAAATTCTGCTCTCAGAAAAGTTGAAAGTCAATTGGTTAAAGACCATGCGAATAGCCAATCGACTTGCAACTTTTCTGTAAGAACAGAATTTTCGCATACGTTTCTCCTGCGAATGAATTCAAGAATCGAGCCCCTGGACTGCTACCATAGTACAATTAGTATGCCTACTCTCTGTCGGCCCTTTGATCTTTTCGGTTTCGATTACGTGGTATTCCGCCATGTTTTTGGTGTAAAATCCCGTCACACTGGGCGTTTTCCAGCAAAGACTACGTTTCCACCGAGGGTCAGAGTCGGGCTAGAGTCGGGTCAGAATCGGGTTAGGGTGAGCGTTTTTGCGGTGGAAACACCTAACCCCAACCCGATTCTGACCCAGTTTGGTGTTTCCACCGCAAAAACGCTCACCCCAACCCGATTCTGACCCGACT